CTCCTTCTCCTTCTCCTTCTCCTGCAGCTCCTTCTCCTTCTCCTTATCCCACTCCCTTCTTATTCTTTCTTAGATCTGAGCCAATGGATATAGAGGACACACAGGAAGACAGCCCTGGCTACCATCTTACAAAATCCAAAGAAACCATGAAGCTAAGGTTTCTACGTGAAAAGGTTTTACTTCAGTTAAAAATGRCTGAAACTGCAAAGGAACAGGTATCATTCATATGACCTTTATATCCAAGTGTTTGTGTTATTTATCCCTCTGGAATTTTTTTTTACTTCCTCAGGCTAATTTTCCTGTTGCCAACAAGCATCTTAGGGAAGCGTTGCAAGTAATTAACGAGGTATCTAAATTTGTAACCATGGTCCTTGTAATCATTATCATCATCAGTGATCTTTACCATCTTTATCATCACCATCATCACCAGTATCATCGTCACCATCGTCATTATATTAGTCGTTGTCATCATTATCACTATCGTCATAATAATAATAATAATAATAATAATAATAATGAAGGGATGAACAGTGGATTCCACAGAGTGGCTCTTATTCCACTGGATTCCAATTGGAATTTAGAAGTTGATTTTTACGGAGGGAGGAAAGCGGGAGAATCTGGAAAACCCTGGAAGCACAGGAAAGAACCAACAAACAACTCTACTCACATACGACACCGAGACCAGCGGGGCTCGAACCTGGGTCGCATTGGTAAGAGGTGAGCCCACTCACCGCTACGCTACCCGTGCTTCTACAATTGCACAACCGTCATCACCATCAACATCATCATCATCATCATCACCATCATCATTATCACCATCGTCATCACCATCATTAGATTTTTACTACAAATAATTGTACCTATTCTAAACGATATGGCAATAATTACATGTTTATTACTATATTTTTGAGTATTTTTCAAATATATTTTTTCTTRTATTTATTAAGGATCTTAGTGCTAACAATGACAACCTGCTGATTAGTTGGACGCATGCGTATGCCGCTATGCACCACAAGAAGTATCACGGGCTCAAGACTGTAGAATCAATAGAAACTGCCTTGTCAACCATCGCACAGCTAGGTATCTATTCATTAGACCGTTTTCTCGAGCTTGCGTGCGCATCCAAATTTAAGAAACTTGACAGACCACGATACCAGAACAGGAGCTTGATGWTGAGTATTATCATGCATTGCAATGAATTTTCGATAAGAATTCTATCATAAAATTGATTATTCTCTTCTTTAAATATAAAACTGGCTTCTCAATTTTACTGAATTTGCGTTTTTGAGTTTTGTGGCCCGTCAAATTGGATGCGCACGCAACCTTGCAAAAACGGTCTATTTTATATACAGTCAATTCAAAAAA